AACAATGAGGTCTCACCCTCTCATTGACCCAAACCCAAGTTGTTTATGATTGGATCATAAATAACTTATTCAAACAGAATTAGTGGTACTTACAATAAAACGAACTTCTGACCCAATTATAATTACAAACAACTTGTGAAAGATCAACTTGTTTGTAATGATTATAACAATAGACACAACTAATCTTATAATACATAAGAATGCAATTCTAGATTTACGGTGGAGTGCCTATTGTCAATGAATAAAAGTCGATTAATTAATTTGTATTATCGAAGGTTATAATTTGTAGGTTTATAAAGTTTATTTGTTAATTTAGAGTAACACTAAAGATTGAATTTAGTTGGAATTTTTTTTAAAAAAATGTTGAAATTAATATTTAATATATTAATATCAAAGAGAAAATATTTTTAGTTTGAATTCTTCAAATTAAAATTTAATGTATTAAATATATTAAACATAAAAAAATATATTTATTGTATTTGATAATTAAATATTAAAATAATTAATATCCATTAAATTCTTTATTTTAAAATGTATATTTGAAATTTGAATGAAATTAAAATTAATTTAATATATATGTGCTATCTTACCCTATTTAAATTTAATTTAAATAAGATATTATATCTTAATATATTAGATATTCAAATATATTACTGATCAGAATTCTCACAAAGTCTTGTTTAGACCCTTTGGGTATAGCAAAAAAAAAATGTATCCCACGCTTCTCTCCAAAATAGTTCTCTCTCAACTCTCTTCCTCCAACCCTTCATGGAGAAAATTCAATCGGTGGAGGTAGAGCAAGTAGATTAAAGATCCACAAGTACTTTTTTTCATATTTCTCCCAAGTAAGTCAAAATAAAAATAGAACCCGTTAAAATTAAAATCGAGATTAAGATATGACACAAAAATTAAATACAAAATCAAATTCAATTGTAAGACATGCTATTCAAGTTAAACGGGGAAAATGAGTTTGAGATACAATTACAAAATAAAGTACAAAAAAAAACTCAAATACAAGGACGAGTTGAGGCTCTGGAACAACTCCATCTCTGGCCACACAACTCTTGAACACTCCTCCACCACAATTGACAACGTGCGAACACTTGACAAAAAAATAAAAAATGGAGAAAAGTTGACGCTCTTGAATAACCCCATCTCTGGCCGCACAGCTCTCGAACACTCCTCCACCATAACTGACAACCTGCGAACACTTGAAAAAAAAAAAAAAAGAAAATAGCAAGTATAAAATATTTAGTAAGCAACGTACTCGTAGCTCTCATTGCACCCTTATCCTACTGGGTATCCAAAGATTTTACTCTGGGTTCTACGAAGTCCAGACAGTCTTTATTTCTATCTGAGCATCAGAAGTGCTCCAACGTTTCGACCGATACTTTAGCTGCTCACAAACCCATTCTAGGTACAATGGTGGTTCACCCGCATCACAAGTCTTCTGGGCAAAAAAATCCATATTTGGAGTGAACTACATTTTTGTTCCTAGACTTAGGTAGTTTGCTTTGCCTAAGCAATGTAGAACCGATGTTCTAGGTTGAGGCGCTATGTCGCAAAACTCTCTCGGGTGTGGAAATTATGGTGTGTGCTAGCCTACTCTCATCATCCATGAAAGGTTAATTTGCAAACCCTTCACACAAAACCATCCAAGTAACCTAATATTGGGGGAGCGGCCCACATCATAATTTCAGGGTAAGGATGTGCACCGCTCAAAGCAGACAGAAAAGCTACGCCGATGTAAGGGGTAGGAGTTTGGAATTTGAAGTAGGGAACATGGTATTCTTGAGAGTGAGCCCAATGAAAGGTGTTTTGAGATTCGTGCATAAGGCAAGCCAAGTCCACTCTTCATCGGACCTTTCAAAATTTTAGAGCGAATAAGTCTAGTAGCATATAGGCTGGCCCTACCACCCTTGCTCTCAAGTGTGCATGATGTACTCCATGTGTCAATGCTAAAAAAAATATATAATGGACCCTATTCACGTGATAGACTATGAGCCCTTTTAGATTGACGAGGACTTGAATTATGAGGAGAAACCTATAAGGATCCTAGCTCGTGAAGTGAAAGACTTATACACCAGGGATATTGCTTTTGTCAAAGTATCACAATCGCACTTTTGATGGCAGCGGACTTGTGATTGTGCGACACTCACTTTTCAATGACGAGTGAGCTAAGCCAATTCGTTCTTGCGTCGCCTACGGCCAAGCGACATATGCTCGAGCCTCTGGCCTCGGTTTTAAGAGAAGGTTTTAGAAAACGAGGGCAGAGAGAGATTTTTGAAAGAAACGTTATATAAGCAAGCAAGAGAGAAATAACAACGGCTCACAGTATATAACCTTGGGTAGGGAGAAGTTGACAACTAGTCGTATCCCCGTATAGTACATCTTGAGGCATTTCATGTCTGACAAGTCTAGACATGATATTTCTGAAACGTCGTACTTCCTAGAAATACAAAAGTAAACACTAGAATATGAAAAGACATAAAGGGTTGGGTTTGTCACGGTCATGCTCGTCTATGGCGAAACCACAAAAAATAAGAAGTCACATGAGAATGGGAAGATGAGATAAGTGAGAAATACCCCGAGTTGATACAAGAGTTTGAAACTTTACAGGACAAAAGTTCTTTTTAGGGATATATAATGTAACGCATGGAAAAAAATCCCAGGACGGTCAACCCTCGCCGAAAATCCCAAAAATCCAAAGCAAATGATCCATCTTGTTCCATTGTAAGAACGATAATCAACCTTTGCTTCCTTGACGTGTTCTACTCCCCCATGCACTATTTGTAGCATCTCCCACGATGCCTTTGCCGAGACCTTTTTCTGCCAACATGAGAAGAACATCCTCTGGGATTGCTTTGTAGAGGGCAACAAGAGCCATCTTATCCTTACGAATCAACTTCTTCACTGTACTTGATGGTATCTCAAACACACCTTGTGCTTGTAAGTTAACACACATTTTTTTCGACCATGCTGCTTTGTTACTCTTCGTAAGTAACGAGTACTGGTTTATTATACTCCCCTCCTTTCTGCTTTTAATCGTTGTCATATCTCGTTTGGCGACTTTGTGTGGCGACAATATTTGTTTCGGCATCCTAACTCTGATACCTGTGAATGTTTGCTGAATCCACCACACCTAAATGGTGTGGAAGTTATCTTATTTATAATCAAATAAATTACAAGGATATGAAAATAGTAATAAATGGAAATAACAATAAATGGAAAGATACCTATAGTAATAAGGCAAATATCTATATTTGCCTTATAATAAAATATCAAATATAATATATATGCTAAACTATAATTTATTACTAAATATCCTTAACACCCCACCGCAAGCTAAGCGTCGGATTTAAACTAACTTGAAGCTTGAATCTGAAAAATTCAAAGAGGTTGAGAAACACTTTTCGTGAAGATGTTAACAACCTGGTTCAGAGGAGGCGTAGAGAAACACTTTCTTGGCCATCGAAAACTGCAGAGGGATCGCCGCTCAGTGGCGATGCTGCCTTGGCTTCGGTGAGAATATGTCTAACCCATGAAGAGGGATTGTCGCTTAGCGACGATGCTGCCTTGGCTCTGGTGAGAATATATCTAACCCCAAGAAGTAGAAGGGGAAACCTAGAGCAAGGGACAAAGACAATGTTGAAGCCGAAAGAGTCGCCACATTGGGCGAATGAGCCAATTTTGGCGAGAAGGGCAGCTGGAAGAGTCACCACATTGGGGCGAAGGAGCCAATTTTGGCGAGAAGGGCGGCGGCAACTTGGTTGGCGAAGATGCCAGTGCGGCGCCCAGATTCCAAAGGTAAATCCCTACGGCGGCAACTTCGAAGAGGAATGCTGATGAAGATCCTAAGATTAGGGTTTTTGTGAAGGATGAAGGATGAAGGGAAAATTGGGAAGAAAATGAGAGAGGCTATGTTTGGAAAAGGTGAGGTTGTATGTACAGAGTATGGCGAAGGATGATTTGGAGGTCAAAACGGTGGAGCCGAAGAATAATCAATCGGCTCTACATGTGACAGCCATGACGACTGCCCCTACGGCATCAAAGACAACAGTGGTGGTGGAGAAGAATAGTAGAAGATTTCAAAAGCCATTGAAAAGGAAGAATGTAGGTTGCTAAACCAAAATGGCTCTGATACCATGTGAATGTTTGCTGAATCCTAAGTTAACACACATTTTTTTCGGCCATGCTGCGTTGTTACTCTTCGTAAGTAACGAGTACTGGTTTATTATACTCTCCTCCTTTCTGCTTTTAATCGTTGTCATATCTCGTTTGGCGACTTTGTGTGGCGACAATATTTGTTTCGGCATCCTAACTCTGATACCAAATGTTGGATATGACCCATGATCAAAATATACTAAACCAAATAAATGGAGCAAAAAGAACCTCAGAAGAGAGATCTTTTAAATAGAAAAACCTTAAACACCTGTGCTTTTCAATTCTCTCTATGTTATTGTCAACTAAGCATTATTGTCAATAGAGTATACATCATTTATAGGGGAGAAAACACTAATAAATTTTCTACTATTAACGGTCTCTGTTCTTAGTCCACAGTTAGGCAACTAGTAACAATTCTCCGAAATAAATCACTAACTGTATTTCTAATAAATAGTTTTAAGAAGTTAACTAGAGTTTACAATCCCCTCCTTACTGATCAAAGTTGGGCGGAAAAACCCTATTACAAAACTCCTCTCCCACTTCTTCTTCCCTTTGTTTTTTTTTTTTTTTAACACTTCTTAGTTTTGCGCAAATGTCTCCATGTTTTTTTTTCCTTATATTTTATTTGTTCGTTTTTGTTAGTGATTATTTATTTATATTATTGAGTTCTCTTGACTAAGACGATTCTACTCTTAATTTTCTTTTCGTGTTGTATTTCAATTTTTTTCTTTCAATATTACTACCGTATTACTAAAGATTTAGATTTAAATTTAGCACCTAAAAGAATATTAAGTTTTCCGGTGAGAAATCATACCCAAGCATAGTATGATAGAAGAAGAAGAAGGTAGGATAAAGAGAATAACTTAAACTGTGTGTTGAATGACGAAAACGTCACCCAACCATTTTATTACATTCAGCATATGATAGGATTAAAAGCACTCAGTTGGTAGTGCAAGGGTAGAAGCAATAGCAAAGGTAGGTAAAAGGAACTGGAGGGGTAGGCACGCACTGAGATGTTGATCCAGGATGCTTTTGTAGGCACTTCTGATGGCACTCTTTCGATATACATCCTTCATACAACTTGTCAACACAATTTCTTGAAAAGGCTGGTTGAGGTACCATCAATGCCACTGCAAAAATTTCAAAAAAAAAAAAAAAAAGAAAATCAAAATAGAGATATCTAATAATTTGAAGTCCATAATAAAGATGATATATGATGAACAAACATGAGAAAAGAAGAACAAGGAACAATACGGAGCATGCTGGAAACTTGGCCATCTCTTAAAGATAATTTCTCTCTTTGGTTATTTCATTTGTGATTGTAGAGCTTGTATTTATGGGCAGATTTGTGATTTACAAACATGGAAACTCAGTCCTTGTTCGTATTTTATTGGACAATTCTATATGGAAAGTAGACCAATTATTGTAACTCTTATAACATATACTTTTTATGGGAGGTAATTTTATACAAACATATCCCTCGTTTATGGAATAATAACGTACAATTGTTGAACCATTGTGCTCGTGGGAATCAGAGCTTCAACTTCGGTAAAGGAACAATCATGAACTTGAAGTCAATATCACATGAGCAAGAGAAATAACTAATTGTTGGAGCTACAACACAACAACAGCCCAAAAAAATAATGATAATAATAATAAAAAAAATAATAAATAAAAATAATTATAAAAAAAAAAATAAATAAATAAAATAAAAAAAGAGAGGAATAACCTCCCCACTTTTCTCCATAACCTCTCATCCCTCCCCCAATTATCTCTCTTCAACCCGCTCCATAAAAAAAAATCACTGTTTGCGAAAGAAAGAAGAAAAAGAAAAAGAAAAAGAAAAAAAAAAGAAAAAGAAAGAAAGAAAAGCAACCAGAATTAATTTGAGGAAAAAATGAGAATGGCCTCTACAGAGATTCACCGACCAAGATTTACTTGAAAATAGATTAAGATGTATATTAAATCTTAATTTTCTTTTATTCTATTTTTTTTTAAACCACAATGAATTATAGTTAGATCTTCATTAAATCTAACCATTGTTTAGCTTTGAGTTAAAAACTAAATGTTAATCGTTTATATGAATTCTAGTAAATCTGGTCAGATGAGTAGTATTAGATCAGTAAATTAGTAAATTTATATTAGTAGAAAGGAATAGATTAAAAATAAAATGGCCAAGTAAATTTGTGAACAGAATTTAAATATTAACCGAATGAGAGAAAAGGAAACACAAAGATAAGAAAAGATTTGGAAACAAGAATATGGTTGAAATTTGGAATACATGAAAAAAAAAACATAAAGATAAAAGAAAGATTTGAAAACAGGAATCCTGTAGAAATTTAGAATACATGTGAACAAAATTAAAAAACAATAGAGTAAATAAAGATCTATAAAAAGAGTAACTAAAAACTTAAAACTAATTAAGAGAGAAATGTAAATATACAGAGTAGGAAACTAGAGAATGACTTGAAATAACCCTATTAATTTTTTTTTATACAACAATAATTATATAAAATAAGTTTTTTCATAAAAACATAATTATAGATATATAACCTTTAAACTTTTAGCAATGGACCATTTAAAGACTCTTAGTAATAGACCAATGTAAAGTAGAGAAATAATTTTATAGAGTTCATACTTGAAACTGATGTCATGTACTCACATAGGTTGGCTTGGATTTCAAAGGACAGAACCGAACTTTCATTAAAAATATATTCGTGACAACAACTTAAGCTAACTAGGTGAGTGACCTTACTATCAGCATGGTTATATTTGATGTTGACATGTGCCCCGTGGTTCTGCACGTGTCATATATATTGATATGTGTGAATTGTTTGTAGATTGATATGTTTATAATATGTTATAATATGTGAATTGTATGATAATAATTACAATATGATGTGTTCAATGATATGTTTGATATAGGATACGAAAATGATGCACAAAACGAAATGTAACGATAGGAGTAAGATACGTTCATGAAACGTTAAGGTTAGATTACATACCGAAGTGCTATGGATATGAGAGACTGATAAAAGAATACAGTTAGGTTATGGGTACAAAAGGATAAGTGTGTGATAGATTGATAGAACGATAGCGTTAGGATATGTTCCTGTGAAGATATGACTAAGGTATGTTCATGTAACGACATGATTGTGATAGGTATAAGAACGTTAAAACTATGAGAAGTTAGACAAAGATAGGACCACGAAGTGTTTACGATACGACATGTGAATGACGGATATATACATGTTGTCATATGATATGAAAATGATATGAAATATGTTACGGTACGAGATATGTGATAAATTGACATGTTTATGTTATGATATATTGTGATGCAATATGTTATGGTATGATATGTATATGATAAAATGTTATGCCTCCTAAATTGTGTGTATATAGCATGATATGAATGACATGAAATATAACCCCGTTAGAATTATGTATGATATGAGAACTGATGTAATAGCCCAAAAATAAATAAAGAAATAAACGAATAAAAATAATTATAAAAATAGTTAAAATTATAATAATAAAAAAATTAATTAATTAAAAAAAAACATTTTCCCATCTCTCTCCACTAACCTCTCATCCCTTCCCACAATTATCTCTCCTAGACCCATCTTAGGCCAACTGAAAAAAAAGAAACAGAAAAACAACAATGTCAGATTTGAGAAGTAAAATGTCGTTCAACAGATTGTAGATTCAGAGTTTGTCAGTTATTACGGTAAAATCCTATATCAGATTTCCTTTTCCTTTGTAGTTATGGTGATAAGAAATTAATTTAGGATCAAATCTTCTTTCCTATCTTAACCGTTGTAATAATGAGATCCCATATACAATTATTAGATTTTTGTTAGCATTTTAATTATACAAAATAAGGTTATAAGTTAGATTCAATAAAATCATATCTGGTTTTTGTTGTGCCCCATCCTATATTTTTGCAAGGCCGAATTTTTCGTCATAAAGACCATTACTCACTAAACCTCATTCCCAGAGGGTTTTTGCACCATCCTATTTTTGCAAGGGGGGATTTTGCTCCATCCTCTTTTTTCAAGGGGGATTTTACCTCATAATGCTTATTACCCACAAAACCTCTTACCCGGAATAGGAAAGAAAGAGGCTTTCCTACCATCCTATATTTTTTCAAGGGGGAATTTTTCGTCATAATGCTTATTACCCACAAAACTTCTTGAAAGAAAGAGGCTTTCTAAGCTAATCTATAAACTAAAAGATCGTAACCTGTACTTAAAATTGGTAAGTAATATCTGTTTACACAATTGAAAAACCTATTTACAGAATGAAAAAGATTAGAGAGAGAGGGAGGGAGATTGAGGAAAATTTGTTAAATAGTATTTAACAATACAAGTAAATATTACGTCAGTGAGCTCCTTTCAATTTTAAAACCTATTTACAGAATGAAAAGGATTAGAGAGAGAGGGAGGGAGAGCAAGGAAAGATATGTTAATCAGTATTTAACAATAATAGGAAATATCAGACGGCAGTGAGCTCCTTTCACTTTTGTGTAACATAAAACATTCAGAATTTTCATCAGAGGGCAGTGAGCTTCTTTAAATTTTGTCCAGAAAAGATCAGAATTTTAAGATGCCAATGTAAATTAGAGTAATAATTTTATAGAGATAAAACTTGAAACTGATGTCATGAACTCATATAGGTTGACTCGGATTTCAAAGAACGGAATCGAACTTTCATTAAAGATATATTTGTGGCAATGACTTAAGCGAGCCAGGTAAGTGACCTTACTATCGGCATGGTTATATTTGATGTTGACACGTGCCCTGTGGTTCTGCACATGTCATATATATTGATATGTGTGAATTGTTTGTTGATCGATATGCTTCTTATATGTTATGTTATGTTATAATATGTGGTTTGTATGATAATAATTATGGTACGATGTGCTCAAGGATATGTTTGAGATAGGGTACGAGAAGGATGCACAAAACGAAATGTATCGATAGGAGTAAGATACGTTCATGAAACGTTAGAGTTAGGTTACATACCGGAGTGCTATGGATAAGAGAGATTGATGAAAGAATATGGTTAGGTTATGGGTAGAAAGGGATAGGTTTGTGATAGATTGATAGAATGATAGCGTTAGGGTACGTTCTTGTGATGATATGACTAAGGTACGTCACGTAATGATATGTCTGTGATAGGTATAAGAACGTTAAGGCTATGGTAAGTTAGAGAACGATATGACTATGAAGTGTTTACGTTATGACTTGGTTATGATATGATACATTGTATGCTAGATTGTTGTGCTTACGTACGAAATCATGTGAACATGAATGTATGTTATTTATGCTGCTTAGTTGATGTGATATGAATGCATGTGACGATGTGTAAGATTATGGCTTGTGTTTTAAGTTAAAGGTTATGTTTTATGAAATTTAAATGAAGTCTTCCGCATTCAATGTTTATGGTATGTATACAGTAGCGACCTTAAATTAAGTAGAAAATTTCGAGTCGTTACAGGTAAGCTCTCTAGCATTATGTTAGCATAACTATCTAGTACCTCCTTGATTTCGCTTGGAATAGTTTCCTCAGTGGTCACTTCTTCCATCAGTGGTATAGCCATAAATGTAGGTTCCTCTTGTGCAAGTCCTCTTTTCAATTGTATGGCCGAGATCATTCTAAGATTACCTGGTTGCTTGATGCTTGCAGGTATTACTGTGGGGTTGCGGTTGATGATCACTAAGCATTTCGCCCGTGGCATTGGGATAACTTTGTGTTCTAGGAGGAAGGTCATCTCAAGTACCACGTCGAAGTCGTCCATGCATAACAATCACAAGCTTTTTCGTGATTTTAGAGGTTACACATAAAGTTATCCCATGGACGACTTTTGAGCATGTGATTGTATTTCACAAGCTTTTTTGTGATTTTAGAGGTTGTGTTACGTGGAATGAGTAAGTGATGAATGGCTAAGATCTCTTGCATTAAGAATAGGGTTATGGGTTACTTAAGCATGTATGATGGTTGTGTTTCTATGCTTTGTATGAATTTAATATGAATGAAGATTCATGAATTGTTCCTTCGAATTTTGAGTTAATTCATCAGAGTACGACGTATGCATTATATTGGCTAGAAACCACGTCAAGTAGATGAACCACTAGTATGATAAGAATTTATGTTGTTGAGATGTATGTCCTAAAGCCTCGTAATTAATTGTATAAGTTTTAATAATAATTTTGATTATTTCACTTACAATTCAAAATTATTCACTAAAGTTATTGATGTAATCTTGAATAATATGGGTTTGATATTACAACCATGTTCAAGTAATAACCTAGGTCCATAGTATATGGTTAAATTTGGGTGTTTTATCCCAGAAACATTATTGATACGACCCATCTTGTAATTGTTGCAAATGATTTGATCCAAATTATTGATACGACCCATTTTATTTCGTATACAATGAGTTTGTATAAAACTAAACCACAAAATATTTGATCTCTTTTTTTAAATCGATCAATTGAAAAGATTAATATTCCATATAATGATCATATGCGACTTGATCTTGATTTTAATGACTTTGGAACTTTTGCCTGTAAAGGCTTGTCCTTTGATTTGTATGAGTGAGAAGGGTTCTTGTATCTAATTCAATATGTCTATAATTCTTTGGGACTGGACCAAATAGGTAGTTTGAAGCCTAACTTCACGAGATGAAATTTACTCATTACCCACATAGGGTAAGTAGATGAGTTACTTCTCTTAAGTACTGATTTCGAGACTTGAACAATGAGGTCTCACCCTCTCACTGACCCAAGTGTTTTATGATTGGATCATAAATAACTTATTCAAACAGAATTAGTGGTACTCAAGATAAAACCAACTTGCGACCCAATTATAATTACAAACAACTTGTGAATGATCAACTTTCTTGTAATGATTATATCAATAAACACAACTAATCTTATAATACATAAGAATGCAACTTTAGGTTTATAGTAGAGTGCCTATCGTTAATGAATAGAAGTTAATTAATTAATTTGTATTATTGGATGTTATAATTTGTAGGTCTATAAAGTTTATTTGTTAATTCAGAGTAATACTAAAACATTTAGTTGGAAAAAAAAAATTAGATGTCTAAATTAATATTTAATATAACATATAAAAGAAAAAATATTTTTAGTTTGAATTTTTAAAATTAAAATTTAATATTTTAAATATATTAAATCTTAAAAAGTTATATTTATTGTATTTGATACCTCAAAGATTAAAATAATTAATGTCAATTTAATTTCTTTTTTTAATGCATATTTGAAATTTATATGAGATTTAAATTAATTAAATATATATATATAGATTATCTTATATTTAAATTTGATTTAAACATGATATTATATCTTTAATATATTAGATATTTAAATATATTATTGACAAAAATTCTCCCAATTTTTTTGTTTAGACCTTTTGGGTTGAGCCAAAATGTTTCTCCAAGTCTGCTTAATTTTTTCCATTTTGTTCAATTTTAAATAAACTAAAAGTCGATTATTCTAACGAATAAAACGTTCATTCTCAACATAGGTTATCTCTTTATGTCTCGACTTGAGTTTTTAGGCTTCAAAACATGGACTAGGACTAAAAAGATATGGACAAAAATAAATATAAATAAAAGTAAAATAAAATAAAAATAGAATTGGATAAAATTCAAATCGAGATCAAGACATAGCACCAAAATTAAATTCAATTGTAAGACGATGCTATTCAAGTTTATTACCAACGGAGAATATGAGTTTTGAGATACAATTATGAAATAAAGTACAAAAAACTCAAATACAAGGACGGGTTAACGCTCTGGAACAAACCCATTCAGTTTAAGATGGTGGTTCACCCGCATCACAAGTCTGCTGGGCGATAAATTTCATATCCGGAGTGAAATACTTTTTTGTTCCTAGACTTAGGTAGCTTGCCTTGCCTAAGCAGTGTAGAATCGGTGTTCTAGGTTGAGACGCTATGTCGCAAAACTCTCTCTGATGGGGACATTATGGTGTGTGCTAGCCTACTCTCATCACCCATAAAAGGTTAGCTTGCAAACCTTTTGCACAAAACCATCTAAGTCACCTAATATTGGGGGAGCGGCCCACATGTGCTTGCCATCTATTAAAACTACTACCATAATCTCACATCCTCTCTCACCATGGATATGTTGTGTAAGGTAATCCAACTAAATTTTCAGTCACACAACCCTAATGGTACTAGCCTTAACTTGACAGTATTGGTACCTAAGAAAGAAGGAAAGTGAAAGCTCTGTTGATACTATACCAACTACTAATGATATGGAAGCTTCCTTTATCATTCTTGGATACCACCGTTTGAGGTGTAGTAGATTCTTGGAGGTGTAGTAGATTCTTAAGGGTGTTTAGGAATTGCACCGTTTGAAGCGCTATATGGAAAGTAGTGTAGGTCTCTGTTATGCTCGAATTAAGTAGGTGAATTAGAATAAATGGGACCTGAGTTAGTCAAAATCACCAATGATTTCATAGAAAAGATCAGGGTAAGGATTTGCACAGCTCAAATTAAACAGAAAAGCTACGACGATGTAAGGTGTAGGAGTTTGGAATTTGAAGTAGGGAACATGGTATTCTTGAGAGTGGCTCCAATGAAACGTGTTTTGATATTCTTGCATAAGGCAAGCTAAGTCCACACATCATCACACCTTTCAAAATTCTAGAGCGAATTGGTCTAGTAGCATGTAGGCTGGTACTACCACCCTCGCTCTCAAGTGTGCATGATGTACTCCATGTGTCAATGCGCATAGAATGTATAATAGACCCTATTCACATGATAGATTACGAGCCCTTTTAGATTGACGAGACTTGAATTACGAGGAGAAACCGATGAGCCCTTTTATGTAACTTTCATATATATATATATATAGACACACTTTGACGTCTTATTCCACTTTTATCTACTGATTTAAAGAAAAATGTTTATCAATTTTCTTTAAAAGCCCAGTGTTACTACGTGCAGATTGTAGCTTAAGTATCTCGAAAAGTTGATTGTTACACTTAATCTAAATAAGGAGTTTGCAGTAAGGATCTCACGTGATAGTTCAATCTTCCAAAGTATCTTAAACTGTGTGTTGAATGACGAAAACGTCACCCAACAATTTTATTTCATTCATCATATGATATGATTAAAAGCACTCGATTTCAAGGGCAAGGGTAGAAGCAATAGCAAGTAAGAGTAAAAGGAAGTGTAGTGGCTGCCACACAGTGAGATGTTGATTCAGGATATTTGTCTAGACACTTCATCTGACAATCTTGTGGTCGGCATCCGTCATACAACTTCTCCTCACAATTTGCTGAATGGGCGGCTCGAGGAACCATCAATGCAACTACACATATTTGAAAACATTTAAACAAAATTATTAAAAATTAAAATCAAATCAACTTTAGAATTTTTTAAACATAATTTGAAGACATAAACAAAGATATAGATATGTAATGAACAAACCTGAGAAAAGAAGAACAAGTAAGAATAGAGAGCAAGAAAATTTGGCCATCTCGATCTTAGAAATTAAATCAATGATAAATAAAATTGATCTTTTGGGTTATTTCATTTGTGATTGAAGAACGTGTATTTATGGGCAAATTTGTTATTTTGATACATGGAAACATATTCATTTTGTATTTTATTGAGCCATTCAATTAGGGAAGTGGTCAATTATAGAAACTTGGAACAGATATTTCTGGTTTGGGCTATTGAATGTCCTAACTGTAAAATAATAACAACTAATTAAACCTAATCTTAAAGACATTTCGAAATATGACATTATTTTTAGTTTATCCGATAAAGACCGATGAAAAGTTGAATAGATCTATCAATAACTCAGATCTATTAGAGACGTGTGAAAGAACTACTTACTAAGCATGTTTATATTCATTCTAAACATGTAAGTATTCATTCTTGATTTGCTCTTCACGTAAACTTGTAGGATCGATTAGGACATGACTGGTTATGCTATGTTTGACCAACTCCTTGAGACGATCCACTCTCAAGGTACACATAAGTTTATACCTTTGATCGTCGTTCACAATCGTGGAGTGCAGTATCTACTTGAAATTTACTGAAGAAGGTCAACATTTAAACTGCTCTAGCTATAGTGCCCTAAATTTAGTTCGGTTCTCTTGTGCATGCTTTACCAGGCATAACGGTAATTTTTTATAACTTATAATAGTATATACTCATCCAAAAGTGTCATTCCAAAGTCCTTAACATGCAATTTCTAACAACTTAATATAAGTGTGAATGTTTGCTGAATCCACCACACCTAAATGCGGGTGAGAGTTCTCTTATTTATAATCATTTTTAGGATACAGAAATATAGTAAATTACAAATAATATGGAAATAGTAATAAAAGGAAAGAATAATAAATGAAGGTAATATTTTTGCCTTTAGTAAAAGGGCAAATATGGTAACCTGTAATAGATATTTTCCTTATAATGAACGGTCAACTATCCTTAACACCCCCCGCAAGCTGAGCGACGGATTTGAACGAAAGTGAAGCTTGGATCTGAAAAATTCAAAGAGAGATCGAGAAATATTCTTTGTGAAGATGTCATCAACTTGGATATGAGAGGGTACATATTGTGTGCGAAGTTTGCCAGCGATAACAAGTTCTCGAAGGAAATGATAATCTAGTTCAACATGTTTGGCCCGCTTGTGAGAAACGGGATTAGAGCTAAAAAAAATAGCACTTTTGTTGTCACATAAGAGTAAGGGCTGCTGTGAAATAAGAACCTTGAGATCATGCAACAGATGCGTAACCCATAGAAGTTCAGCAGCAGTTGTGGCAAGAGCACGATACTCAAATTCACAGCTGGAGCGTGAGACAGTAGGTTGCTTTTTGGCACTCCAAGAAACGAGATTGTTACCAAGATAAATAGAATAGCCGGATGTAGAACGACGAGTATCGGGACAACCAGCCCAGTCAGCATTCGAATAAGCGACTAGCGTACTAGGAACAGTGGATGGACGAAAGGTAAGACCAAAGTGGAGTGTTCCTTTGACATAGCAAAGAATACGTTTGACAGCAAGAAAGTGATCTGCAGTAGGGGCATGCAAGAATTGACTGATAGAATTGACATCATAGGCAATATCTGGTCGCATAATAGTCAAGTACTGAAGGGCGCCAACAAGAGATCTGTAGAGAGTAGGATCAAAGAAAAGAGAACCATCAGTAGTCAGGTGTTGAGAAACAATCATGGGAGTGTGAACTGGTTTGCTATCGAGCTACTGAGCACGAGAAAGAATATCTCGAGCATATTTTAACTGACTAATAAAGAGACCATCAGGAGTGGGTGAAGCTTCAAGACCAAGAAAGTAACTGAGAGAATCCAAATCTTTGGTAGCAAACTCACAATGAAGCTTGCGAGTAAAGCTGTCAATAAGAGATGAGTTGTTGCCGGTAACAATAATGTCATCAACATAAAGAAGCAAATAGATAATGTTAGATTGCTGATGAAAGACAAAAAGGGACGTGTCAGCGCGACTACAAGAAAACCCAAGTGTGAGAAGAAATGAGCTAAAACGCTGAAACCAAGCATGTGGAGCTTGCTTTAAACCATAGAGGGCTTTCTTTAATAGACAAACATGAGTGGGAAATCGAGGATCAATATACCCAGGAGGTTGTTCCATATGAACACGTTCAATAAGAGTTCCATTGAGAAAAGCATTCTTGACATCAAGTTGTCGAAGAGGCCATTTATTTGTGACTGCAATAGTGTCACAGCCCAATATTTTACTACGGACAGTGATTAACGACACGACACAGATGCACAGGAGATTTAAATATGAAGTAGCGAAAATCATCAAATTTCAATAAAGTTTTTCGAACGATAAACACAGAACACAAGACCGTTTGGAAAATAAATTTAAAAAGAATGCGAATACAAAAATGATGACTAAGACTGGACTGACGCCCCGGGACTTCCCATTCCTCTGTGACAATTCCCTTCAGATCACGCCCACTCTTGACCGACGCCTCGCGCCCCTGAAAAAAAAAGAAAACATAGCAAGGATGAGTATAAAAATTATACTCAGTAAGCCACCTACTTGTAGGCTCTTTTCGCATCTTAATTTAGCAGAACTCCCACGGTTTCCTAATTCGGTTCTAGGACATCGGGTTCTAACCTTAGTCTCTTGGGGCGTGCCCCTTGGGTTTCACCGGTTCATCGTCCTTTCATTAGTCACCTAGAGGTTCCTTATGCCAAGCTAATATGGTCGGTATCTCTCTATGAGGCGCTACCTCTACATGGCTATCTAGAACTACATGGTACCTAGCCTAGGGGTGTGCTGAATACCCCTACGCCCATATAGTCCTCCTATGGGGGGCGCGACTCAACCCGTTCCCATGCAGCTAATGGGCTGTACGACGTGGGGACACATTTCCCATGCGAAATGGCTAAGAACAGTAAGGACTGATCAGGGACCCTTGGTCCTCCCACGAAGCTATAGATACCGTTCTCACACTAGCAATCTATGAACCCCCTTAGGTACTTCCTTACCGTGGTAAACCGCTAAGTTTCTAGGGGAAAATTAAGTCTGTCTAGAGCAGCATATCACTCCTAAAAGAAATTCCCTAATCTTATCATAGAAATGGGCCTAGCAACTAACAGAGGGTGCATGCAATCTTCTTCTAACATCATAGTATGTAATTCATGCAAACTAGGCATACCGGCTCAACGGGACGATGACCTCCATCAAGCATCCAAAACTCGACATACACAATTTTAACATAAATTACACGCATGCATACGTACAACGGAAGCTTAAGGCATACAAGCAACACTCAGATAATTCACCCAACACATCATAACAATCCATCTAATTAATCTCATTCATGGAGAGCTAATTTAAGGCAAAATTTCTAACATGCATACATACAATTCCAAGCGAACCCTACAAGTATTTCTTCCTAAATACCGGGTGGTGACTTACCTGGTTGACGCGTGCCCCTTCGCTAGCGTTTCTTTGCCCGTGAGGTGTCCAACACTACTGATTTCTCTAAATTAAGTCCCTATCCACGTAAAAACAGTATTAGAACTGGAGCCGGGACAAAAAT